TCCCCAAAGAAGAGTGATACTTAGCCTTTCTGTGTTGAACTTGTTGGGCAAAATATTCTGCTTTATTTGAGGTTAAGGGTTCTTCAGACAAATAAATGTGGGAGCAGGCTAGTGGAGTGGTATGTAAAACAAACCATGTTTCGGTTCATCATCATCATGTCAGATTGTTACCCAGGCCTGCAGGACTTACCATTTCACACTAACCTTGCTTTGGGATTGATCACAACTTTTGCAGCAGTGTATTATTTCTCTCTTGCATGATCTGGAAATATGGTCAAAGCTGGGAGTTTAGCTTTTTTCAAGCTTATTTCTTCTGCCAGCTCGAACTTGTTTTATTGAATACAAAGCACAATGCTCAAATGATATAGGCTCCCTAATGGTCTGAGAGATAGAGTCAGGCTGCTACCACTGGGTCTACTGAGTATGAGAAATGGTGGAGGTCTGATACAATGGTACGCAGACAGAGCATCAGTCTTTAAAATATATAGAAAAGAGCTTTGACTGAGCAAAGCTAAAAATTCAATTTGTGTCCTTATCTAAGTTCCTGTCACTGTAGCTTGATGGTTTTCAATCCTGTTTCTCTTTCTTTATTTTTCTTTTAAATCAATGTGTGTAACCCAGAGTGGAGAGAAGAAAACTAAACACAAATTTGATGTGAGGCCGCGAAAACGGACATGTACTGCATACTGTAAATAGATGTCTGGTTAAATTTTCTCCAGTTTAAAGGCCTGCATGAGAGAAAACAGACCACAAAGGAATATTTTGGTTTCAGGAAATTAAAAAAAAGCTCTATGTTTAACAAAGCTCTATTATTTTAACATTTTGTGAATTATGTCTATATAACAATAGGGCACCGTGGTGGTGTAGTGGTTAGCATTGCTGGTTCACAGTGCTGGAGCCCTGGGTTCAATTCCAAACCTGGGGTGCTGTCTGTGTAGAGTTTATCTGTTCTGCCCATGGTTTAGTGGGTTTCTTCTGGGTACTCCTGGTTCTTCCATCAGTCCATTAACATCCTGGTTAGTTAATTGACTTCTGGGAAAACTGGCTGTGGTGTGAGTATGTGTATTTGTGTATGTGCCCTTCGATGAACTGGTGTCCTGCCCAGCTTGTATCCAAGCTTTTATCCTTGTGCCTGTTACATAGAGAAATAGGCTCCAGCTCCTCAGTGACCCTGTATTGGACAAAGCTAAAAGCCAGTTAACCTGTCAGTCTGTTTTTGGACTGTAGAACACACTTTGCATCAAATTAGGGTGACAAGGGAGCCAGATGGGTTGCCAGTCTATCACAGGGCACACACAGACACAAACACGCATTCACACCTGACCCAGGGCTCCAGCATGCTACCCACTGCACCACCATGCTTATATATATATAACTATATATAGTATATAACTTATTATATATAGATGTATATGTAATGTGCTATGTATATATATAACCATGCTGCCCAGCTATTCATACTGTATATCCATTATATATTTCAAATTAATAGAGCTTTCTGAATATAAAACTTTTAATTTCCTGAAATTAGAATATTCTATTGTGGTGTGTTTCGTCTCATGCAGGCATTTTAAAGTGTAGGTAATTTTACCCAGATGTCTATTTACGCAGTGCGTCTGTTTTCTTGGTTAGATGACTGATGGATATATAAAACAATAATTTATTCAAATAAGTTCTTGGTGAGATCATAGCAGGAATGCCACTCACACTAATCAATTCCTTTATTTGCATGAAAAATAATTAAGAAAAGGTGAATGGTGGTGATTTAGGCCTTTATCTCACCTTCAGCAGTGGATTTGAGAAAAAAAAAAGTTAAGTCCATAGCTCATGTAATATGTCTACCTTTCCTATCTGAATTAGATCTCTCTGGATTTTCAAAATGATGGACAAGTTTATTACAAGTTTATAAGTCTATTTGCAAGCTATGCAGACATTCACATAACATTCACTGCTGTGAGTTTTACATCATAATATTGAGATATTATTTTGAATTGTTGATTATTTGAAAAAGATGTAGGTCTACAGTATTAATCCCCTCCTTGCTGTTTGTTCAAAGAGACATCAGTGTAGAAAACATTGCACAGGCTTTAATTGTCTTTTATTGCACAGTTTAACTGCTCCCTGAGTCATGAAGGAAAATTTTGTTTATGATATTGTGGGAATAACTTGTTAGCCCTCAAATATAACCACGTTAGGAAAGTGAGCTTGAATTAAGGAAACATACTCTCCTGGACATTTGATCCTGCTTCATTGTACAGTAATTACATTCAACACTATTGCAAACTTCAGAGGTAAAACATGCATCAACCATTTTCTGTGGAAAATATTTCAAGCTTCGTGAGCTTGGGATACTCTTCATTATATACTGTAGCTCTTTGAAGGGATTGTGGAAAAAGAGAAATAGTTGCATTTTTCATTTGAGTATCTCAAGCACAATTTAGCTGTCTCTGGGGAACACAGTGTATTTTCTGCATCATTTTGTGACTGGGATGCTGCACACTTTTCGAAATAGTTTTCTTCCCATTACAGCCTAAATAAGGTGTCTAATCAGCTTAAACAGAAACAGATTGCTGCCATTTGTGCATAAGTGTTAAGTGTTCTGTGTATTGTTAAATTCCATTAGGGAGCACTGTGCTGCCCTCCAATGTATAACACGCCTGCTGTCATGTACTGTACTGTGCATTAATTAAAGGATCAAAATTAGAAATAAGGAATCCGCTTTGGTGTTTTATAATCACGACATTAAAGAAGCTTTTGGCCATGGAGAGACTGTAGATTGTGAACAATTTCAATACTGAATGTAATATTTATAAGCAACTGAGTACAATTGTTTTATTTTTTGTGTAGAACCATCATTCGTATTTCAGTATTAGAGCTTGTGTGAGCAGCAGCTTTGAGCCGTGTCCAGTGGTTTACCAACCATTTTGAGGTTTACGAACCACCTTTGCTGAGGTCCTGTGGTTGCCAAATTTCAATTACAGACTAATAGTTTGAAACAAAAATGTTAACTAAAATACAGATGTTTCCTCCTTCATAAAGTTCATAAAGTTTTCATTTATTCATTTAATTAAGGCTTTCTGCAATAGAGAGAAACACTGGAATTCAAAATGAAGAAACTGAAGCAAACATTTTAAAATGTACCAGATTTGCAACAGTCAAAAACCACTTAAAAACTGCAAGTCTCCAGTATAGTCGAAATTAAACGAACATTTGCCAACATGTTCGGTTATCAACTATTTCATGATATGGTAACAGCATACTCAAGTTTTAATGGATTGCAGAAATAATTTAGAAGGGTAATCTAATAAAAACAAAGTGTTGTTTCTTACATTGTAACATAAGCAGTTTATTTTTTCTTTAGTTAAGAAAGGTTTATTAAAAGGGAAAAATTCAGTACTGTATGATGATACTGTACAGTGGAAGTTGTTTTTTGATGGAACCTTAATTTTGATGGTTGCATCTGCTTCTCTATGCAGTTATCTACATACCTAGTACTTAACTACTTACAAAGGGACAAGTAATAGGTTTATTCCATGCTGAAAAGAGAAGAAAGAATACACGTTTTGGCTGTGGAGCCTTCTTTGGGTGTGAGTACTTAACTACTGATAGTGAGCTTAACTGTGTCAGTAGTGAGTTCTTTTAGCGGAGTGATTATTTTAAATACTGTAGCTTCACTCGCAATCAGATTGAGCAGATTCTGTGAACAGATGTAATTGTGCATGTATTGTTGGAGTGCCTCTGAAAAAGATTTGTGGTCATACTACATTCTTTGTACAAATCTTTATTTTCTGGTAGTAAAGGTGCCCAAGTTATTATGTACAGTAGAATGCACTAACAGTGCAGTGTGATGCAGCTAATGACATCAGTTGTTCAAGCCTGGGTCATGTCACTAACTGTGATTGAGAATTCCATGCGAGCTATACCCAATTGGCAGTACAGTTCATGCATACGGTAGGCATTAGATGGGCAGCCGCATTTTAAGTCTTGGAAGAGAAGTTGCTGGCTCACACTTACAATATTTCAGCAGCATTCTACATTCATCTGCTCATGTCATGCTAAAGGGAAATCCCTTTTAGTTGTCCTGGAACTTAACATTATTCAACACAAAATATAACATATTCAGACATTCTGTTATCGTAATTACAGGGTTAGCAAATACTGTAAGTAATGAGTTTACAGGGATGCATCACTTTGCTAGACAAATTAAAAAGTGACATGAATAATTGCCATCTATTTTCATTAATCACAAAGTGCTATTTTTAGTTTCCTTTAAGGATATTGTGAAGAGTGTACAGTAGGTATGATTTTGAGAAGCATTAAGTAAAGCATGATTTGTTTTAAGTAGTTTTGTTATTGTGAAAAGGACCGTGAAGTTCTTACTTTGTTACCCGACATTGATATGCTTTTAAACAGATTTGAGCTGCTGTTAAATTGAAAGGTTGTTAAATTGACATTATTGCTATGTCTTTGACTGTGATTGGGGGTTACATAACTTGTATTGTTATAGTATACTTTTTTGCTGTCGGACCACAAAGTAACAGTTTTGAAAGTGTTTGTGTTTAAGTAGCATTGAAAGAAGCAGTAATACAGGAGCTTAATTCCTGAAACAGATGATCATTTTAGCAGTTACTTAAAAGTGTGGATGGTATTGTACTGTATATACTGTAGAAGCTAGTGTCCTTAGGAATGATATGTAGAGATAAAAGCAGAACAAAATGACTGCACAACTGAAAGGAAATGCTTTAGCCTATTATGGCAGTTTTTCAGATCTCACAATTGTGCCACCAATGCTCTGAATGAAGGATGATGATATCAATACCGCACAGCCAGAAACTTAACTTTAAGATGAAGTGTGTTATATCAAGCATTAAGTAATATTCAATCATTGTTTCTTAAACCTAATTTTTGGTGAGCTGTGAAAAAAGAGCAACTGTAACACTTACATTTCTGTGTGTGTCGAGTTGTAATAGCCCTTTAATTTGATTTATTTTTCTTTGCAGTTGCGATTCTGAGAACAGATACCTGGGCAATCCACTAAGGGGAACGTGCTACTGTGAGTATTCCTCTAATTCCATTCTCAAATTTTGCCAATAAAAAAGTAGATATCTAGCTTTCTGGGGAATGGAGAATCATGGCATATCACAGTTAATAATATTGCATGAAGAGGAAAAATATATATTGAAACATATATAAGTATATGTCTAATCTATATTCTTTAGAGTCTAACTCTTAAAAAATGTTTGTGATTTGTGACACCTTTTCATATCTACTCTTCATTGTTAAAGTGGTCCAGTTCTCAGAGTGACTAGGAAACCCGAAAGAGCTTTATGGGACAAGTCTTTTTACTTCATTTTATTTAAAAAAAAACATTTAGTTGAACATATTCATTTAAATAAGCTTTTTTATAAAAGAAAACATGTGTCTGGGTTCGAAGCAGGCCCTCAAAGCGCAGACTGAATAAGTGCAATAAGTGTTTGAACAGTAGCCCCCAATCTCTGAATGTCCGTTTCATCACACCTGTTCATTGTAAATCAGTGAAATGTATTGTGCGTTCAGATGGTAAAATGTGCAACGTTCTCATGAACAAGAGTGTTCCACAACTTGAAAACCCTGTATCAGCTTACGGAGACCACAACACTTTCCATACAGGACGCATAGCTGTCCACCATCTTAACCCAGAATAAATTACACACCATGGTGGTCCCGCTAATATTTCAAATTTCACTAGTCCATACTATTCTGTTCTCACAACATCGTTGTTTGAATAAACCGGATTTTATGGATAATAACTGTTTTCATGTAAACTCATGGAAATATCTACTTCGGATATGTTACTTAAAGATTAATGGGTGTTTTAAGAATTGTTCAGAAAACTTCCACCTCTGATATCTGCACTCTGCATTGTAATTAAATCGAATTGAGCTTCAGGAGCAGATTAGCAGAGCTGATGTGACATTAAAATAACTGCAGGAATCAAGAATGAGACTTCTTGTTTTGCATTGTTTTGCCAAGGAAATCCTGGCAACAAAGAGTGACTTTTAATTTATTTTGAGAAAAATAGATTGTGGTTTGCATTTAAATAAGTCTAACCTGTTTTGTTTTATTTTATTGGAAAGACCTGGTACAGAGACGAATATCATAGAATGTTATTTTATATTCACAATTTTTTACAAGCACAGATCTTTTTTTTTTACAGCATGGTGTATCTGATGTTAGTCTTTCAAGGACAAAGGGATGTGTAAGTTTATCAGCACAGTTTCAAACAAATAAAAAAGCATCAGGCATCTTCAGATTCTTTATATACTGTATATATGGCAGGCTTAAGGGAGGCAACACATCAGTACTACTTGCAAACTCCTGGAAAAATACATCAGTACTGCCTTAATTTATCACACTAGTCATTTACAATAAGAAAATCTCAATGTCAAAGCCGCTGAACTACAGTACCTGCCCTTATTTCTGCTCTATATATTTAAGGATAGGCATTTTATTTGATATATGAAGATTAAAAACAGGATTTTTGACTGTAAAAGTATACATTTGAAAAGCACCTAATGTCAGGTTTTTGTGACCTCTGTGTAGAGACAAATCCAGAACTGAAACTGTTCTTATTCCCCTTACTGAAATAATGGAGCGCTTACTTGGAGAAATCAAAACCTTTCTTTTAAATTAGCACCACTGGATATTTTAGTGACGATTCTCCCTCTTAATGGAGTAGTTCGTTCTGGGGATTTGAAATACTGCTGAATTCAATGGAGTGGATTATTTTCTGTCACGTGCAATGAGCTTTTCTCCTGTTGAGAGGAATATGGGATTTTTTGCAGTTGAACTGAAGGGTGGTATCTAAGTTAAGAATTATTCCTTAAATGCCAGTGCATTGTATATGTGGTGTAGTAGTTAGTGCTCGTAACTCCTATCCTTGGTGGTGTACTGCTGTTTTAACCTTGGTCAAATTGAGACTTCAGTATTATGAAATGACTTTCTGGGTTTTCTTTTTGTTCTTTTGACCTGTTTGTTCCTGTGGTTCTTACACTGGGGCCTCAATTAATCCTGAGCTGATCTTACATACTACATTAAATAAACATTAAAACCACATAATTGTCTTTGTACTCCCAATAGCATCATTAGTGTAATGAAAACGTGTCCCTTTAAAGTACTGCTTTTAATGTGTATTTAAACAATGCTATTAAAATTATTAATAACATCTGTATTACAGGTATTAGATTTCAAAACATTACTTTAAAAATGAGTAGAAAACGTTTTGCAATCTGCGGATGATTTCATAGTCTGGTGTCAATAAACACCAATAAATAGGGAGTGCTTTTCCGTGCCAAGCTTAACATCTGTTTATCCTGAATGGGTGCGTCAGAACTCTGTCAATCTGAAATTTCAGAATGGGATACAGCTTTTTATCAAGGAGTAGTCTTTAGGGATTTCAGGCTCAGCAGAGAAGTGAAGGAGACTATGCATGACATTCATAGGCTTACCTTTCATCACAGCCCTGACTGTGTGCTTAAAAAAACTCTCTAGAGTTGTGAAGTATACACCTCTACATGAAAAACTATTTATGCAAGTCCTTATTGTGTTCAGACTTGTAATTTAAACTTTTTTATGTAGCTCAGTAAAGCGGTTGTCTTTTACTTTCAGTACGTTTGTTGAATCTGTAAAATATAGGTATCTGTTGCATAGTACATTAGATACAACGTAACCATTTTCAAAGCTTCCGATTCGAACTGTGACAACAATGTGTTCATTTTCGGCCTCAAAAATCTATTTATTTTAGAGGCCTTTTATAGCATTGTGGCATTAAGACACCACTACAATAAAGCAAATAAGTGATACTTGGAAAATATTGATTTCTTGTTTTTATAAAATAAATTGTGATCACTAAATGTGTAGATTGCTGTTGGTAATGGTGTTTAAAATGTTCTTTACTGTCCTATGAGTGTTGTGTTTTACTGTTGGTTTATTATCTGGTTTCTATGTGGATTCCAGTCATCTTTGCTTAAAGATACCACTAAAGGGTTAATGTTAAGACATATAGTACGTAATTTATGTATTCTGTACTGTGTATGTGGGTATACTTTTAATCTCTTGTAAAATTTTATTGTAAGTATGACACTGAAGGCTGTTTTCTTTAGACAGATTAAAGACTCTAGTGACCTCAAAATGGTTGCACGTGTTAATTTAAAGGTGGACAAAGTTAATGGATTGGAATATGCAAAGGAAATAAAGCTGTAAGCTGGTTTACAAAGACATTGCAACATAAATTGTGGCCCTCTTTCCCATCTGTGTCACATTTTCTGACTTCTTGACCTGGATTCTAAATTAATTTCACGCGTCACTTTATTTTCCATTTGGAAGTGAACAGGGTCACATTTTAATAAGCAAGAAGGTGCTACCTTATTATAGAACTTAAACCAAAATACCAAGATGATAGTTTAGGTTAGTTGTGTCTCCATATGCATCTGAAAGATGAGAGTTGTCGTCTTTCGGAAAGGAAAGTGCTGAATCTCCCAGTTTATAGGAGCCTATTCTGAAATAAGTATTTTGCTGTTCTTGAACATTTGTAATGAATGTCTTTTTAAACTGAGGACACTATCAATGTCACATTCATGAGGCATTTACTACTGTGCTAATTTTGCAGCTGTTTGGTTTAGTTTGAATTCCCATTGACAATTTAAGTGTTGATTTTGTAACCCTATGGTATTTTGCTTTTTTAATTAAAACAGAGTAAACGTAATGTAGCTTTGTGGAAAATATAATTATGGACTGCAAAATGTTGCTGTTGGTGCAACAAGTCAGGCTGTTATTGTTTGTCTATTTAGTGCTGTTCCTGGTGGTTCCTTCATGTTTTGCAGTGTGAGTGAGGATCATTCAACATGAAGTTTCCTTAAACATTTGACATAAGTGGTTTAATAACTTCAGATTCTATAAACATAAAATACTAGAGTGCCAAAACATTCAATAAAAAAATGGTACAAAAGAGTCTTTAGGCTTTTCTCAACATCTTATTTGATTCTTTAAAAATCTGATTGTGCTACTTCCATTATGGCTGGAAGCTTTAGAGTCTGCGGTTGAATATGTCAGCAGTTAATAACCATAAATGAAGCACTGTAAAAGACATGGAAGGTATTTTAAAAAAATCTTAATCTATTTTTTAACCTTGTAAGGCAAAATCATTTCAACATAAAGCAGACTGGCTAGAGGTTTCTTATAGAATAAACAGTAGTGTGGTCAAATGTTATCTGTTATCTAAACCTGGAACTTGTCAGAGAAGTAGGACAATTCTCCTATGCACTTATTCTAGTACTTCTTGTCACCATTTCAGTATTTCATTGCAAAGGTTTTTGGAGAGTTGACAAAAAATCATCAGTCTTGAGTTGTGCTGTAAAGGAAAGAAATAGAAAAAACTAAATATATTTACCCTAGTATTCAGAATGTTCCACTTGAAGGTAGCAGGTTTGGTAAAATTGATTATTTTACCTTCAACTGGCATGATGATACAGGTTTTTTATTTAGGTTTATACTACTGATGTACTCAATGTCTATATTTAGACTGAGACTTAATTCTTTTTGAGAAGTTCAGGTTATGATTTCATGTCTTTGATACTCATACAAAGTTTAACAGGCACTTCATGATGTCATCTTGTTTGGTTATGTTTTCTTCACTAAAACCAGTTTAAAGAGGGACAAGCCCAAAGTAAGTTTTAATTAAAAGTAAAAATTACTGGTTAAGGAAAGCAGCAAACTGCTCTGTTTAGGACCTCCACAATGGACCTCACACTTGATGCAGAGCAGAAGCAAAGTTTTAACAATTTAGTGTTGCAATGTTATCAATAGATGTAGAGACAGACATATTCGCACATTCGGAATCCATTCCCAAGACCCAACAAAACATGGGAACAGTTATTATTAGTGGTCTTCTGGTTGATCTTTGAGTAGTCTTAAGACTACTTTGAAAGGTTTGTGGAGTAGAGAGCTTGAGATGGTGATAAGCAGTTGCTTTTATAACATTTTGTATAGCGTCCTTGCTAAACAAAGACCTGGTGC